CGAAAAATTATTGATGTCTATATCTACCATCATTTGGAGCAAAATCGCAAAATTATAATTATATTAAAAATTACAAATTAGCCAAAAGTCATATAAATTAAGCGAAAGTTTTTGTTTTTATAGCGAAGTTTTTATTTACCTTAAAATGAGCCTAAATTTTGTGGAAAATGATTTGAGCGTAAATTTTTCCAAATTATATTATATTAGTATCTGTTTTCCAAAAACAGATTAATGAAGTGAAAACACAACACACAAAATAAATTAACATTTTTTATGGTAAACACACGTTAACAATGGGAAAGTAGTTTAAGGAATATTGATGTTGGACATTTTTGGTACACACAATCCACATCGAGTAATCACTATTTAATCTGCTTTTGTATTTGGCATATGTTTTGGATAAATAAAGTGGTAAATTTATATTCCTGCCAACAATTGAGCAAAACAATGCACTTCTGCATTCAATGTGGGATATTAACGAGATCATTATCAACCATGGTCATAATTATAACTCAGAGAATAAATGCTATTATTTTTAATAACAAATGAATTTGTTTTACATAAAAAGTAAGAAAAGTGTGCGCTTAATTACCTTTGTTTATTTTTATATTTGTTAATATCATGATTATAATCACAGAAAAGTGCATTATTTGTTATTTATATAATAATGGTAAAATATATACGGCAATATTAGATATTTCATATCAATGTTATCTCACAGCCAAACGCAACATACAGTAAAGTAATTTATGGCAGACCAAGTATGCAATTAAATGTTTTGATACATAAATAAGATACTACTGTACAGTATATGCCATTAAAATTCATAATTAATTGTATATTTTATGAGCTCTTGGTAAATGTTTTGAATGAAATTATTATTTTTAAAAACCAATCCATAGATATAATGTTGATATGAATGAAATATTAGCACAAAAGCATATTTTACATGAGAATAATAGTGGTGTTACAGATGTCCCCTCTCAGGTCCTATCAGTCTCTCAGTCTTATAGTCGCGAAAAATACATTAAATAAACACAAACTTATATTAAGACTAAATTCATTGAAAAGTATTTCTATTATTTTTAATAACAAATGAATTTGTTTTACATAAAAAGTAAGAAAAGTGTGCGCTTAATTACCTTTGTTTATTTTTATATTTGTTAATATCATGATTATAATCACAGAAAAGTGCATTATTTGTTATATACTGTATAATAATGGTAAAATACATTAATGGTAAAATATATATACGGCAATATTAGATATTTCATATCAATGTTATCTCACAGCCAAACGCAACATACAGTAAAGTAATTTATGGCAAACCAAGTATGCAATTAAATGTTTTGATACATAAATAAGATACTACTGTACAGTATATGCCATTAAAATTCATAATTAATTGTATATTTTATGAGCATTTGGTAAATGTTTTGAATGAAATTATTATTTTCAAAACCAATCCATAGATATTATGTTGATATGAATGAGATATCAGCACAAAAAATATTTTCCATCAGAATAATAGTGGTGTTACAGATGTCCCCTCTCAGGTCCTATCAGTCTCTCAGTCTTATAGTCGCGAAAAATACATTAAATAAACACAAACTTATATTAAGACTAAATTCATTGAAAAGTATTTCTATATTTATTGTTTTAAACACACGATTGCTTTATAATTGTATTCATTCATAAACAAAATGTATTTCATTTTCCATACATATCTATACATTTAGTATATTGTGGTATGTTTTAGTTTACTGATTTCATTTGGAAATTTTCAACACTCGTAAAGAAAATCGTTTTCATTTTATTTGAAACACCATTTTTGAAACATGTTTTATAAATTAAATATTTTTATAATAGCTTGTAATCTAATTAAATAAAAGCAAAAAACTATTGAACTGAAACATCAGTTGTAAATTGTTTTGATGCCATGAGAAACACTATTAATTCAATTGAGGCTTAAAAACTATTTTAATGGTTAATACAAACAGTATGTTTACTCCATTAACTAATATTACATTAAGTTATTAATTCAATTAAACACTACAGCAATAAAGTACTGCTTTATTATATTTGTAATTTTGATTATTGATATAAAATATGTATTTGTGTTTATAAATAACAAAATTTTGTCACCTTATGAAATAAATACAATTATATTAAGTAAAAATGAAATATAGTGAGCAACAGTGTTTTTAAGTAAACTTGATCTGGATCAATAAAATATCCTAGTTAATACCAGATTCCTTGATGTTTATCCAAGAGAATAACAAACTGTTTATTAGACTCAAGTGATCGCCTCAAGAATCTCGCATTTGGTGTTCACATAACGCACACAAATATTGTATTTACTTATCTTTTGATCCATTTTTAGCATATTATCATTGCTTTCAATTGTAAGCCTATGTATGAAAATAAGCGCATTTGGTGTCATATTTTTGATTTGTTGCCCAAAACGTTGGTTAATGTTTACAGAATACGTGACAAACCATATGATTCCCTATCAATCAGTGGTCAACAAAAGAAATATTTATTCAATTCTGAGACAAAATGTATATCATATCACAAGAATTTGCTCTAATATTTGAAGATTTCTGAATTCATATACAGTACGTTTTTATAACAAAATACGTAATTAATAAGGCAAACAGTGGGGTTTTTTCATATAGTGCAACAGTGAGACAAAGGTCTACCTCCGTGTCGGTGTCTCTTGGGTAACGCTAACAGACCTAATAATGCACTAAATATCCCATTACAATTTAATATATACTTTTTTCCCCTTTTTTCACCCTTTTCTGTTCGCCATAATGACAACAAAACATGTATTGAGTCTAAATGTTTGCGACAAGAATTAAATGAAAACTATTTTATTTTGTATTAAATTTAGACTCAATTTCTAAATAATAGCTATGTTTTCAAAAGAGACGAGAAATCTATAAATTAGAAAGAATTGAAATTTGAAACTAAATTCAAAACATGGTTTAAAGTTAGGCAACAAACAAAAATTTATTTTTTGAAACTTTGAATTTTCTTGAAAGCTTTTGAGCATAGTAGTTTTACTTACTATTGGGAAACATTTTTAAAAAACAAATATTGAGTATTATTTTATGAATTATAAATGTTATATCATTTTAATTACTAATTGTTTTACATTCACATGTATACAGTTAGCAAAAACTATTTATATACATCGACTGGTCATCTTTCCTCCTAAAAATATATTCCCGGAATATATTCAACCTAGGAGGGAAGTGTCTAACTTTAATAATACAAGCTTTACATATTTCCAACCTTATTTAATGTATTTGTAAACTTTTAATACATAACATATGGAAAAGGCATTCTTATAAGCTATTGGAAGTTATTTTTAAGAACATGATAAAAACAGGACATGAAAATCAATATAAAGTGAATTCTTAAGAAATCAATTTTGGATTTCAAATATAAGTAATTTATTGTTTCCCTTTTTGGTACGATTACTACAATTATGGTATTCTTCGACACTTTAAACGTTCAAAATATATGTTATTATGTGTTTTTGATGTCTTATTTAAAGATTCAATGGAAATGTATGTCAAGAAAAAGTCAATTAAATAACAAAATCGTATTCTTATTCATACTTATAGTGACTGAATATAAGTAGTGCTGGAATTAGAGTACACATCGATATGACATTTGTGACAATTGAGTACCGAATCCGTCCCACATATATCTAAGTGAACAAAGTTTCACACTTTTAATTGCTATTTATAGAGATTCTGCTGACAAACACTAATATATCATTACATAACTCTCTCTCTCTCTCTCTCTCTCTCTCTCTCTCTCNTCCGTCCCACATATATCTAAGTGAACAAAGTTTCACACTTTTAATTGCTATTTATAAAGATTCTGCTGACAAACACTAATATATCATTACATAACTTTCTCTCTCTCTCTCTCTCTCTCTCTCTCTCAGATTCAAAGACGAGAAAATATGAGATGTATAGATAGGAAATGTATTAATGGATAGGATATGTATTGATACATGTATATAATATAGTGAGTAATGATGGTCATACATCATCGCGAGCACACATGGAATAATTGCTCCATTCTTTGTCCGTTATATTAAACCAAAGTCCATCTGAAGTGCACTCCTTTGTAGTGTATCCTAAAATACAAGTCAAACAACAGATATTATAGCCATAAAAGTCACACTATTTTCTGCTTAACTTTTACTACAATTTATCGATAATTGCAGACAAAAGCTGATAGAAAAGTATACTATAATAAAACACTAAACAAAATCTCATTCAAAAGTAGAGTATAATTGCGCTGAGAATATGTTAGCAGTTATATATAGGGATGAAAATTTCAGTGAAATTTTCATTTGAACATTTCATTTAAGCTAAATTTTGAAATTTTGGGCTAAATTTTCACAAAAATGTGAAATGTTCATATGTTTTTCAACTAGATACTTTTAATGTGGTGAAATATATAATAAACAAACTAATTAAGATATGTTTCATTTTAAATAATAATAAAAATTCTTTTGGTTCTCTGGATATTTCAAATTATTTAAAGATTCTTTCAAATTCTTGAATATTCTGCTATCAATTCTATGAATATTTTACTTAAAACAAAAGTTCTAAATTTCGATTCTGCGAACTAATAATATACTAATGATAAATAAGGCATTGTGATTAGTATTTAAACAATTATTTTTACATAATAAGAATTAATATTCAATTCGCACTGTTGCTTACAAGCAAGCTAACTAGACTTAAGCACAGTGCGAACACCTCAGTCACTTGACTTATCGGAGCAAGCGAGGGACCTTTCTTACGTTAGTCAGCTTTCTTAAGTTTTAGTGCGAACGCTCTAGTGACTGGACTTGGGTCAATCCACGCCCACTCGAGCTGTCCAGCAATTGAAATTGAAAACAGGTTTTGATTGCTTAAGAAATCCTAATGCGAACGCTCTCCTCACTCAAGCAACCAATTTTGTGACTGAAGTAAGCAATAGTGCGAATTGAATATAATTTAGATTAAATTACAGAAATTAGTGATTTATGTAGTAAATATGTAGAATATAGATGTCGCTAATATAGAGTGATTGAACATTTAGCCTAAATGTTCAGCGAGACCCCTAAACGTTCCCTAAATTTAGCCCTAAACGTTCCCAAAATTTCACTACTAACATCTCTAGTTATATAATAATTGACAATTAGATAGAATAGAGTAAATATAGTATGGGATGACATACCCCTACAGGGAGGCACTATTTGGTGCCAATAGATATGTTTAGGACAGGGCTGTCTCATGATGTGCGAGGGCTGCACGTCGTCGGGCCAACACGACCAGCCATCCCAAGTGCGCGGACACACACCCGGTCTCTGCACACCGTATTGAAGCGATTCTTCACAGCAATGCATTGCATCTGATATTCATTACAAAACGATTGGTTATATGATATTTGATTTGATTATTGATATACAGATACTATGGTTCTGTAGGTAAATACCTGCACAGCATTGTTGCCATTTGATTATCAATGACCGGGAGATGAATGAACGCGATATGATTGATGTCTCGTTTGAATAATAGGTTGTTTGGGTGATCGGATCAGTCAGAGAGCCAAATGAATCGTATCTATAAAACAGATATACGTTTACATCACTTCCACTCCTTTTTTAAAATTTATTTAAATTATTTTGATTTTTCTTTTGTTTAATATATTTCTCTCTCTCTCTCTCTCTCTCTCTCTCTCTCTCTCTCTTGTATATGACTTCAAACATCTTAATGAATGAAAGACTACATGTAGTACTGTATATGAATTCAGAAATCTTCAAATATTAGAGCAAATTCTTGTGATATGATATACATTTTGTCTCAGAATTGAATAAATATTTCTTTTGTTGACCACTGATTGATAGTCTAAATTTAAAATGAGTTACATTATAATATCTGTCATAAATCTGGTTATAAAAAACAATTCATTATTCAAATATTCATTGAATTAAATTGAATTGAATATTCATTTTACAAATTCTATACAAATAATATATTTATTTAAAAGAAATATTCATATAACAGACAAAAGCAGAGTTACATCGAGGAATAATTCAATCAATTTTTATTTATTTAAAAATAGTTTCATTTCATAAATAGAAACAACAATTCATATATAATTCATTACATATAATGTATTGATATAGTTATATAAATATGACATTAATAATGGTTTCATATCAATAAAAACAAATACAGTATATTTAATATATTTAGGCCCATAAAGAAGATTACACTTGATATAAATGAAAAGACTTGTCATAACCTCATAGTATTCTAACAGTTGTTGAGTTATTCTGTGGTCTTATATTTCAATCACTGATAACATATTTGGTTAGACATTAGCGTCAATTTAATTGGACACCAATTCCTTGTATTTTATGGTATATTTATCGGAGAGGAAAAAACCATATTATTTATTAATCTATAGTTTTGGTCAGTTTTCAGATCATTATAAGTATTTCATTTCATTATATGTATTGATTTTCTATTAATTCGTTGTTCGGGTATAAAACACAATCCATTTCATAAAATAAATATCTAGTATATAAATGGTATACATTGACATACATTCACATTCAGGTGCCATATATTTTGAAGCCAATGTGTGACAGCCATAAGATATAACAATTTTATTTTCTCGCGCCCACAAACAGCTAATCCCTTGAGCTGTAAGGCGTGTAATAAAAAAAAAGTATTTTCCTATTTATTGTAAAATGAGATTAATTTTTCCGATGAAAATATAAGAATTGAATCCAAAGTTGAATTTCTTAGAAAAAGAGATGATATTTTATCACTTCTCCAAATCCTCGTTTCAAATGAGATATTAATTTCAAAACTCTTTTGTTTTAAACAATCAACTTTTCCATCCGATATATCAATGAATTATGACAATAATAATCAGATTTATATACTTTGCCTACAATAGGATGTCAAAGTTGTGTCTTATACAGTGATAGTATTTATTTATGCCTTTCACCTATTATTAACTCAACATTTAAGTCGAAATGTATTTATAAAATAAATAATAAATCTCATTTTAAAAATACATATTTCTGTTTTGAGTTTTAAGTAAATCTGATAGAAGTTGTTATAAATACCAAATGTCGTGATATATTGTGATAGAATTGGAAATTTCTAAGAACTCTATAATCACTGCAAACTTATAGGAAATAATTAACTGTAAGATTAGTTTATTAGTTACTGAACAACAAAAGGATTAATTTAGAAAACATTAATAATTAGAGCTTAACTTCACTACAGAATAAAGCCATACAAACACAACACTGTATATAATCTATAAATAAATTATTACCAAAATATTACTTTTGTTGGTAAATTAAATGCCAGAATTACATTCATTGTATTTTATTCTTATTACATATTAGTATTTAATAAGATTTATTAATTCATACTGATCAAACTATTTGTTTAGCTTTATGGCTTAATTATAAGTGGAAATCTAAATATCAATTATTAATAAATGTTTAGGTATTCAATCAATTCATTTAAATATTTGATGACTAAAATAACCTAAAAACAGAAGTTTATGCATAACTCTTGAATCCATTGGTAAATCAGTGGTCCTTTAATACAGTAATCAGTGATTGCAATGGGATTTAACGTGAATTTAGTCCAATGTTAACACGAAAAGTGAATTCACTTTTATTATTGTTGATGTGTTTGTATTGAATTGAAATCAATTTGAACATCAAATCTCAAACACTAATGTATTTAGTGTTACATTTTATCAGGGATTCAAAATTGAAAATTGTATTTTATGTTTGGCTCCTATCATAACATATCACGGAATCGTATCTTTCTATACAAACAACTCCACAAATATTGTTGTTATTATTACTCCCGATATTAGAGACACACAAGTCTTGTATTTTTAAAAGGTTTCATAAAAATAAAACTTATATTCACTTCTTTTCTCCTGTTATGAGTTTCAATTACTTTACTTTTTTATGCCTAACCGATAGCTATGTATTGGTTATAACTTTTTATATGGATAAACAATTGACTTGAATGTGAGTTCCGATAATAATAAAAAACAAATGCGAATTTGATTTTATTACATTTTTAAAAACGGCTATAAATTTATATATAGTTATGATATTAAGTCAGAAACAAATTACTTAAAAATCCTCATATAAACAAAAAGACCAATAAAAGTAAAAATAAATTATACTTTTAAATCTATAAAAAAAATACTCGTTCACTAACTATGGATTTGATTTGATTAAACATAAGTATAATATTAGAAAAAAAAACTATTTTATTTTTTCAATTTATTTGCCTCACATATAACTCGATTGTAAAATGCATTCATTGGGAAACGATTATTGCTTTTGATTTACATTGAAAGAAAAGAAAGAGATGAGAGAGAGAGAGAGAGAGAGAGAGAGAGAGAGAGTATTATTACTCCCGATATTAGAGACACACAAGTCTTGTATTTTTAAAAGGTTTCATAAAAATAAAACTTATATTCACTTCTTTTCTCCTGTTATGAGTTTCAATTACTTTACTTTTTTATGCCTAACCAATAGCTATGTATTGGTTATAACTTTTTATATGGATAAACAATTGACTTGAATGTGAGTTCCGATAATAATAAAAAACAAATGCGAATTTGATTTTATTATATTTTTAAAAATGGCTATAAATTTATATATAGTTATGATATTAAGTCAGAAACAAATTACTTAAAAATCTTCATATAAACAAAAAGACCAATAAAAGTAAAAATAAATTATACTTTTAAATCTATAAAAAATACTCGTTCACTAACTATGGATTTGATTTGATTAGACATAAGTATAATATTAGAGGAAAAAAACTATTTTATTTTTTCAATTTATTTGCCTCACATATAACTCGATTGTAAAATGCATTCATTGGGAAACGATTATTGCTTTTGATATACATTGAAGAAAAGATGAGAGAGAGAGAGAGAGAGAGAGAGAGAGAGAGAGA